AATATATCTAATATTTCCCATGTTGAGATGGTTGTGCACTTATTATAAGATTATCCAACTTATTTCCAGAAATTTTGACTTGTTTTAGGTCATTTTATTAAGTAAAACTATCTCAGTATAGTGGCAGATAATTTTGTTGTTTTATTTTAAGCACATTATTTACAGCAAGAACAATTACCTGCCAATATAGTGAGATAATTTTACTCAATAAAGTTACTTAAAACAAGTAAAGAATTTATAGAAATAAGGTAAATAAACTTTAATCTTAAATTAGTCTTACAGCAACCTCAACAGGAGAAATATTAGATTTATTGACTATATTTAAGATAATTTTACTTGACAAGACACCATTTTTTTGCAGTGTGTGCAGAAGTTTAAGCCACAATTTATTATATATTTTGTTTTTAATATGCGGCGACGTATTTTCCTGTAAAAAATCAATAAAATATAAAATATGATTGAATTTTAAAATTTGATCTAAATTTCAGCAAATTTCCATTCATTTTAATACAGCGGCCAGCATTTACAGATACAGCTACCTGAAAATAACGTGCAGTTTATTTAATGTGTAATTCAATTAATTAATTTACCTTACTCTATTAATTTTGGTTCAACATTGAATTACTTAAGGAAAAAAAAAACATTGATTATTAATGTCCTTATAAAACATTGATTAAAGGATCTGTGCATTGAATTCTATGCTGAAGGCTCATCACAGTCACAGTTATAATCACAGTATGAAGTGATACAATCACAGTGCTGGTCTGTTGTTCGTGTCTTGCAGCTCTGCTCGTTTGAAATGTGGCTGTATTAGCAGGAGTGTGTGACGTGCTCGTGCTGTGTGTGAGGCGGAGGAGCGCGAGGCTTATGAATGAAGAAGCGAGGCCCAGTGTTCAGCCTTGAGGGGGGGTGTGTGGCCTTCGAGTCTTTGTTGAGCGCCCTGAGCTGGCAGTAGCAGCGCTGTAATCTAAAAGCAGCCTCGTCGTTGCTGTTCACTCAGTTTCTGTGTGCGTGTGCGTGCGTGCGTGTGCGTGCGTGCGTGTGTGTGGTGTGTGAGGGGTTAAGTATGGGCGGCTCATTCTCTTCACTGGAAGAGGCCACTGAATGGCTGCCTTCCACGGACAGCAAACACATTGGCTGAGGGTGAGGGCGGATCTCGGGCTGCAGCGGAACTGTGAAGTGGAATCCTGCAGGATCAGGAGTCTGTGTCTGTGTGGAAACAGTGCAGAGTGAACACGGAGTTCTGCCCGGGGAATAGAGGAGGCTGCCCTAAGCAGCATAATAATACTAATACTAATACTAATAATAATAACAATAAAAATAACAATAATAATCATCATAATAATCATAATAATCTGTTCTCTATGTCTTCCAGAATTGTCTTTTTCTCCTTCTGTGTCTGATATTGGCAAGTAAAATCATAATTCTTACCAGCATATTTAATATTTCTCGTAAGATCTATATTACAGGATTATTGAATGTGTCTCTGTGCATGCTTTACATACTAATATTAAAGTAATATTATAAAATAGATTAATTTAATTTTATTAATTTAGTATTTTTATTGCATTTGCAGATAATTTTGACTTCTGTTAAAACGTAAATTATTTTTCTAGTATTAGAAAAAATACATACAGACTGAAGAAATTACCTAAATGAAGTTATGAAGATATACGGTGTTTTAATATCCCTACAACGATCTCAGACTTAGAAATATTAGATGTGATGGCTGTGTGAGATGATTTTACTTGCCACCTTTTAGCAATGAGTGAGAGAAAACAGACATTCAGAAGAAAAGTATTATTATTATTATTATTATTATTATTTTTATTATTATGTCTTCTTAGGGCTGTAGGGCTTTATTTTGATCATCTTCCCTTTTCGATTTTTCCCTCTTTACCCCTCCCAACCTGCCTTTATCCATCCGTCCAATCAGTGCGGACATCTTGAACTCTCTCACCTCCACCTCTACTGCCCCCGTGTGTCCCCCTCTGTTTTTCTCTCTCTCTTTCTTCTCTCTCTCCTCTCTCTCTCTCTCTCTCTCTCTCTCCTCTCTTCTCTTTTTCACTTTATTGTCTTTTACCCCACGTGTCACCCTCATCTTCTTTCTCTCTCTCTCCTTTCTCCCTTCCTCTCTCTCCTCTCTCTTTTTTTTCCCCCTTCCTCTCTTTTTTCTGTTTTTCTTTCTCTCCTTTGTGTCTCTCTACCCCCCCCCCTTTCTGTTTTTACTCAGGCATTGCTCTGGCCTGCCCCGGCCTGCTCTCAGCCGGAGGGGTCCATGTTGTTTTGCTCCTGCGGGGCCGACCTACCGTCACATGACGGAGGGGTTTTTATGACACTAATGAAGTCCAGCAGATTTACCGCCGGACTGTGAGCTGCATGTTCGGCCAGACAGTGTCGTCAGACTTCATCACACACTCAGACTGACCGTGCTGATTGATAGAGATGGACAGTATATTGTTTATTAATCATTACGACCACATCTGCTGTTCTGAAGGCCGAAATCACAGCCCTTCAGTCAGTCACAGTGCTGTTTACTGTGTACTGTGATGGGGGTGGGCAGTGTGACGATATATTATCATTATCGTGATAAATTAGGTCACAGTACTCTTTTCTGAGCATATCGGAATATCATCAGTACGCCAGGACTGACCAGCTGCATATTTCATTACAAAGTGAGCTCATTTAGGCCTATTTAACCAATCACAGTGCTTTTCACTGTGCAGTGACCAATCACAGTGGTTATTGTGGGCAGTGACCAATCACAGTGCTGTTTACTGTGTGCAGATACCAATCACAGTGTTTTTTTTGCACAGTGACCAATCACAGTGCTTTTCACTGTGTGCAGTGACCAATCACAGTGGTTATTGTGGGCAGTGACCAATCACAGTGCTGTTTACTGTGTGCAGATACTAATCATAGTGTTTATTTTGGGCAATGACCAATCATAGTGCTTTTCACTATGCAGTGACCAATCACAGTGCTTTTCACTATGCAGTGACCAATCACAGTGGTTGTTGTGGGCAGTGACCAATCACAGTGCTGTTGACTGTGTGCTCTGACCAAGCACAGTGCTGTTTACTGTGTGCAGTGACCAATCACAATGTTGTTGACTGTGTGCTCTGACCAATCACAGTGGTTATTGTGGGCAGTGACCAATCACAGTGGTTATTGTGGGCAGTGACCAATCACAGTGCAGTTTACTGTGTGTACTGACCAGTCACAGTGTAGTTTAGTGTGTGCAGTGACCAATGACAGCACCATATGTGTTTCTTCTGGTGTAATCCAACAGAAGTGTGTTATTTTGGAGCAAATAATGTAACCATGTGACATTATTGATTCACTAATATGGTTTTAATACATTTCCAGTTGTATGTATGTAACAGTATGATCACGGTTTGGTCCATATCAGCCACTCACAAACAGAAAAGCTCCTGCGTGTGTTTGGCTCTGACCTGCTTTGCTGTGAGGACATTATGCTCTCCTTTATCCTCGTTTCCAGATATCAGTGCTATAAATCTCTGACCTCTCAATGATTCACTTCACTAATGATTCACTAACGATTCAGTGAATCATAAAATCTCAAAAAGATATTTGTTTCAGTACCAGGTATGAGTATCGGACTGGTGTGGGGGGATAACTGAGTGGAAAAAAGAGTGAATGTGATCAGTTCTGTAACAGATCTGTCCTGAAACGGCGCTCGCTCACACTGTGATGTTGACCAAGAACCAGTGGGAACAGAGCTTATTTACTTATATTAGTGTTAAAGGCACAGTGACAAAAACAGCCTGTTTAATTGTAAAGGAATAAATAAAGAGGTTGTAGGATATGAGCTCTGGCAAGTGATGTAGTAGGTTTTTAAGAAGAAATATTGAATTGGTATCAACTGATTTATTAAAAAAAACTTTCTTTAACTTTTATGTTTAACAATAGCCCAAGTATTTCTGGAAAAAACAAGTGCATAATTTATTGAGGCTTATTATAATATAAAATATAATATAAAAATGTAAAATATATAATATTTAAAATATAAAGGATGTATCTTTTTAACTTAGTGTTTAATTAAAATTCTAAGTCTCTTGGTATTTATCTTTTTAATTTGATTTGTGTATTTTCTTATATGATTTTAAATTATTACTCATAATTTCCTGTATTACAGTTAAGCTTCATCATCTGTCTGTAAAGCACTTTGAGCTGCCACTGCCTTGAAGTGCTATATAAATGATTATTATTATTATTGTTGTTGTTGTTGTTTTTGCTGTTATTGTTATTGTTATTATTATTGTTGTTGTTGTTGTTGTTTTTTTGCTGTTATTGTTATTATTATTGTTGTTGTTGTTGTTGTTGTTGTTGTTGTTATTAGTATTTTTAGTATTATTATTATAGCAACAGTTGAACTAAACAAATCACGCGTCTACATTAGGAAGAGCTGCAAACGAACCAGACCAGAGTTGGGAGTGAGGGGATGCAAACCCTCTGGTCAAAAAACCTCCCTTTAGCAAAATGACCATTTTGATCTTTCCATCTGTTTTGAATTAATGTGATATCACTTTAGATCTTTGTTATCAGTATTTTAATTTCATCTGTGTGCGAGATTTAAATACTAAATTGGTCCAGTTTGAAAATGCTGTTGCAGGAGAAAATTTACAGTTACAGTATAGTTTCAGTATTTGGTGAGGGGAGATTTTTGCAGCATCTGGCAACCCTACCATAGGGAAACCTAAAAGATTTATGGACTTTGGAATTAAAAACAGATGTGATAACCAACGTTAATCTGTGAGAACTGTCTAAAGTTAACAAAACTGAAATGTGGAGCTTCTAATCTTCGAGGATTTCCTTAATATTTAAGTGAATAAAAAGTAAAAATAATACATAATGCAGCACTGCCAGAATGAGAATTGCTAAGTTATTAATGAGGCAATATCTGGTCATTTTTCCCATGAAATGTTTGTCCAGAAACATGTTTGTGTTGATTGTTTTCCTCTGTTCTCTCTCCTCAGTCTGTCCGGCTGTGTGTAAACACCGAGCGTGCACCCACAGCGGTCACTGCTGCCATGACCAGTGTCTGGGGGGCTGCTCTGAGCAGGGGAACGCCAGCGCCTGCGTGTCCTGCCGGAACCTCCTCCATGGCCACACATGTGTGGAGCGCTGCCCGCCGGGATACTTCACCTTTAAAGGCTGGCGCTGCGTCTCCTTCGCCTTCTGCCAGGACCTCCACAACCAGTGCAAGCAGAAGAAAAGCAACGACTGCTACCAGTACGTCATCCACAACGGAGCCTGCATCCCAGAATGCCCCTCTGGATACACCATCGTCGACTCCACGTGAGTAACACACATGAGAGTGACATGCTTAGAATAAGAAAAACAGACCTTTATGTCTAACGTACATACAGTATGCAAAGGTTTCAACACCCCATTACATGTTTTGCTGATTTTCTAAGTGAAAATTAGAAAGTCCTGTCCAGCCCATGAAATTATTTACATTTTTCAATTAATATTAGTTTCACAGTGGCTAAGATTTAATAAGATTTAATCGATTAAATACATTCCTATTATAAATTCAGACTGAGGTGTTTATTCTCACTCTACTCAACAATCTGATGAAAACCTCCGTTTACATGCTCACTACAAGTAATCCGATCCAAAATGACACACATGTGTAGAGAACCACTTAGTGTAGACGTTACCATGACAACCAGCATCACATGAGTCCAGTCAGAGTGAGATGAGCAGCAGTGAGCAGCGCTTGTGTTTTTAATTGCTTGAAAATGAAGTCAGACTCAGAAAACGTCCTTCACATGTCCTTATTAAAGAAGGCCGAGAGGAAGACGTCATATTCACTAAATAATCAGCACCGGCCAACAGTTTATCAGGGTATTTATCATATCACCGTATTAATGAGTCACTAGTTGCAGGCTAGCAGGAAATAGAGTATCTTGGCGTTGTGGTCTGGCTGAATAGTCTTTCGCTCCATTTGAGACATTTTTTTAAAAACCTAGATCATTTGTTGTGTTGTGGGTCGACTGTAGGCCTGTAGGCTCATCGGTTTACAGTACGATGTGATGCCAAAACTGGAAATGGAATTGAAGAGTGGGATTACGCTCTTTGGAGAGGGAGAGAGGGAGGATAGATGGATGGTGAGAGAGAGAGAGAGAGAGAGAGAGAGAGAGGGAGAGGATGAGCTCATTAGTGAATGAAGTAGCGTTCCTCTTTTCCCCAGATACTCGCTCTGCTTTTTGTTAATGAAATCCTGAAAGGCAAAATGTAGCAGCAGCTTGACTCAGTAGACAAACACACACCTCTCTACACACACACACACACACACACACACACACCTCCCTACACACACACACACACACACACACACACACACACACACACCTCCCTACACACACACACACACACACACACACACACACACACCTCCCTACACACACACACACACACACACACACACACACACCTCCCTACACACACACACACACCTCACTACTCACACACACACCTCACTACACAAACACACACACGCACACATGGAGGTTTGTTTTTCCTTGTCAGGGCACCGGGTTTACTTTTATCCCATTTGCATTACATATACACACACACACACACACACACACACACACACACACACACACACCAATCAGGCATGACGTTATGACCACCTCCTTGTTTCTACGCTCATTGTCCATTTTATCAGCTCCACTTACTATATAGGTGCACTTTGTAGTTCTACAGTTACAGACTGTAGTCCATCTGTTTCTCTGATACTTTGTTAGCCCCCTTTTACCCTGTTCTTCAGTGGTCAGGATCCCCATGGACCCTCACAGAGCAGGTACTATTTGGGTGGTGGATCATTCTCAGCACTGCAGTAACACTGATGTGGTGGTGGTGTGTTGTGCTGGTGTGAGTGGATCAGACACAGCAGTGCTGCTGGAGTTTACGTATACATTAAGCATTTCTAAAAATCAGACTTCTGACATTGCGTAGAAAACATGCCATTGTAATAGGACATAAAATTAAATCTCTAGACTGAATTTGAATGGCATTATCATGCATCTTAATAAGACATTTGTTTCTGTGTTTTAAAAATTACATATAAAGTGTCAGATATCATTTTGGTAAATTTTATTGTTTTTACAGTAAGTTTTCTGTTTAAATTGCTATTTGTAGGCTAAAGCCTTCTGACATTGCCCCCCTCACTTATATCTTCTGAAATGAGGGTATTAATAGTGAGTCTGTGCTGCAGTAACAGCCTCTACTCTTCTGGGAAGGCTTTACACTAGATGTTGGAACATTGCTGTGAGGATTTGATTAAGCTTTAGTGAGGTCAGGTACTGATATTGGATGGTCAGTTCTGGATCACTCCAACTCATCCCAAAGGTGGTGGAGCTCCATCACTCCAGAGAACACAGCTCCAATGCTCCACAGCCCAATGCTGGGGGGCTTTATACTCCTCTAGCCCATGCTTGTCATTGGACATGGTGACCTTAGGCCCATGTACACCTGCGCCCCATTCTATTGGTCAGTTTTTTTCTAAGGCGATTATACAGTCCGTGTGTTGATCCCATGGACATCCAAAGCAAATTCCTGTTGCATCATTAACGTTTAACGCTTGTTTCTGTCTGTATGTTTATCTGTGCCGTAGGTTGAACTGTACGCCCTGCGCCGGTCTCTGTCCGAAGCTGTGTACTGGAGTGCAGACCATAGACTCGGTCACCGCGGCTCAGGCTCTGCGGGGCTGCACCGTCCTCAACGGCAGCCTGGTCATCAAAATCCGCGGCGGGAGTGAGTATAAACAAACAAAAAAAATGTATGATTGTCAGATTGTCCCACTCGCTACATCATAATCATGAAGTCTTTGTGCTTTGTAGTCAGAAACAATGTGTAGTTACTGTTTTGATGTGTTTCTAAGATTTTATTTATTTATTTATTTATTTGCATTATTTGGACAGGATAAACAAAAGTAGCCACCAAAATTGTGAAAACTTTTTTTGATGTTATTTGATCATTTAATAGCTTTGAACTAGTGATAAAGATTGAATGAGTCTATAGATGAGATTAATCGCTGTCTTTATCAAATAGAAAAAATGCTGGTGTTATCAGCAAAATGCATTCTTTGCTGCCAGGTAAAGATAATGCACATATATAAAAAAAAAAAAAAAAAAAAAAAAAAACAAGGGTGCCAGTATTGACCCTTGAGGAACCCCACATTCTGTGCTCTTGAGATGAGACTCGAGCGAGAGTTTCGCCACGATACACAGTTTGTGGTAAATAGCATTTGAACCATTTAAACAGCAGGATACCATGATTTGACATTTTCCCTGGTGTAAAAATGCACATAATGCAGCCAGGAGTTAAAGATTTCAAAAGCAGTGATGTCCAGCTCCAGTCCCAGTCTTACAGCCTCATCAGTGAAAATTAAGTCAACTGCTTTTACAGGGTCAGTAAGTATTCATAAATATAAATATAGTTTATAGTAATTATAAAAAAAAGTAGGCACAAACGGAAACACTCATCAAAATGACAGCGTACACAGTTACAGACTGTAGTCCATCTGTTTCTCTGCATACTTTGTTAGCCCCCTTTTACCCTGTTCTTCAGTGGTCAGGACCCCCATGGACCCTCACAGAGCAGGTACTATTTGGGTGGTGGATCATTCTCAGCACTGCAGTAACACTGACGTGGTGGTGGTGTGTTAGTGTGTGTTGCGCTGGTGAGAGTGGATCAGACACAGCAGTGCTGCTGGAGTTTTTAAACACTGTGTCCACTCACTGTCCACTCTATTAGACACTCCTACCTTGTCAGTCCACCTTGTAGATGTAAAGTCAGAGACGATAGCTCATCTGCTGCTGCACAGTTTGTGTTGGTCATCCTCTAGTCCTTCATCAGTGGTCACAGGACGCTGCCCACAGGACGCTGTTGGCTGGATATTTTTGGTTGGTGGACTATTCTCAGTCCAGCAGTGACACTGAGGTGTTTAAAAACTCCAGCAGCACTGCTGTGTCTGATCCACTCAGACCAGCACAACACAATCTAACACACCACCACATCAGTGTTACTGCAGTGCTGAGAATGATCCACCACCCAAATAGTACCTGCTCTGTGAGGGTCCATGGGGGTCCTGACCACTGAAGAACAGGGTAAAAGGGGGCTTACAAAGTATGCAGAGAAACAGATGGACTACAGTCTGTAACTGTAGAACTACAAAGTGCACCTATATAGTAAGTGGAGCTGATAAAATGGACAATGAGCGTAGAAACGAGGTGGTCATAATGTTATGCCTGATCAGTGTATGCGCTGCATTTTACAAACGCTGTGTAGCATCATAAAACGCACTGCAAATTCATAGACGCTAAAATTAAAGTTGACCTTAAAAATTAAAGGTAAAATTAAGTTGACCTTTATTTGAACAGATAACTCGTATCACTGGATGGCAGATGGAATTAGCTGTAGAGTGTAACGGTGAACTTTAAGATAGCAATGCCAGATATACTGATAACTACCGTAGTATGTCAGGAAGCCATAACAGTGCTATCAGAAATAAGCACTGGCGCAGCATAAACAAAACCTAGAGGATATTTCAGCTCTGAGTACTGCTATTTAGAGTAACGTATGGCTGACGCAAGGTCATGATTATAGCTCAGGTGTGTTCATGTTGATGAAAGTGTTTTCTGAATTTCTGCTTTATTAGTTTGCAACACATTTTTCATTATACTGTGCTTTGGGTCTTGTCAGCCCCTGTATATTTGCGATTATTTTGACAGCACGTGATGGTGTGATTTGATGCTGCCGTTCTAATGTACATCTTTACATCCCATAAGCGTGTTCCTCTGCCCCTCAGATAACATAGCGGCTGAGCTGGAGGCTAACCTGGGTCAGCTGGAGGAGATCACGGGTTATCTGACCATCCGCAGAGCGTACGCCCTCGTCTCCCTCTCCTTCCTCCGCAAACTCCGGTTGATCCGCGGGGAGACGCAGGAAGTCGGGTACGTTGGGGAGAAGCAGAGAGCGCCTTCACAAACATTGAGACTTTTTTCAGGCTTGACTTTTGTTCACTCTTCTTTACTTATAGTTGAGGTATAGTTGGTGTGTATAATTTAAATTCTAAGTTTAGAACTTTTGTAGATGTTAACATTAATATTAATCCCTTAAACCTTACAAATCTGTCTGTGGTCAAGCTCCTCATTCTGATAACTACAGAGTTTACACGTTAGTTTAATACTAGATACTGAATAATTCATAGTAGATACTGAATAATTCATAGTAGATACTAAATAGTTCATAGTAGATAATGAATAATTCACAGTAGATACTGAATAATTCATAGTAGTTACTGAATAATTTATAGTAGATGCTGAACAATTCATGGTAGTTACTGAATAATTATGCATAGTAGATACTGACTAATTGGTATTAGTTGCTGAATAATGTATAACAAGTAATAAAACATTTATACAAGTTCCTGAATAATAAAAGTCTCAAGATTAGTGATTAAAGTTAAAACTTAGTTCTATACACTCTTAAAAAACAATCAAAAAACTATTTTCATGATTAACAGGTTTTTTGCATTGTGAAATGGTTCTTCAGATTGATGGAGAATGTGTTGTATATGGTTCTATATAGAACCTTTTTGAAAAGGGTTCTATACAGCACCAAAAAAGGGTTCCACTATTGTTACAAGCCAAAGAACCCTTTTTTGGTACTATATAGAACAGTTTTTGCTAAGAATGTAGGTATGAGAGTGAGGAAATGAAGAGTGGACCTTTAGAGTTTAAGAAATCAAATAATATTAGTAATATTTATCTATTTATCTATTTTTTTAGGAACTACTCCTTCTACGCCCTGGACAACCAGAACCTGCGTCAGTTGTGGGATTGGTCCAAGCACAATCTGACCATCCTGCAGGGCCGCATGTTCTTCCACTATAACGCTAAACTCTGCCTGTCCGAAATCCGCAAGATGGAGGAAGTGACTGGAACCAAAGATCGGCACACGAAAAACGACATCGCCATCCGCACCAACGGAGACCAGGCGTCCTGTAAGCCTGAACCGTGCTGTCTACACACGATACAGTGCGAGATATTGATGATAGAATTTATCATGATGTATTTACGTTGAAATAATTTGAACACAGGCTTGACACACCATACAGGACAGTCAACACAGCTGTGGGAAAACTTTTTGTCTATGAAAGAGCTTTGACAGTTTCTAATTATTCAAAGTACAGCACTGGGCAGAAGTCAGAGACCATTTACTCACCACCGTATTTATTTATTTTCCTGTCAAAACTGCCATTAAGTACAAGTTATTCATTTTTCAGGGTATTTAATGTCCCTTCCAGCACTAAACCTTTTCCCCGTCACTGCCATAAATCTAAATCAACCCGATTCCTGATTTTGCCTTTCAGGTGAAAATCGACTGCTTAAATTCACCCATATTCGCACCTCATCCAAGAAGATCCTGGTCATGTGGGAGCCGTTCTGGCCATCAGATTTCAGAGACCTCCTGGGCTTCATGGTGCTCTACAAAGAAGCGTGAGTGTCGCACAGTGTCTGGTTTGGTTTGAAAAAGTCTGTTTCAGACAGTGAAAGATATTTTAGGTTATTAGGAGTAAACTTGTGTTTTAAATGGAGGTCTTACCATAATATTTTTCTTTTTCTTAAAGTATTCACTGCAAAAAACTAGAAATCTTCGTCGCTAGGAATGTGGAAACTACTGTGGAAAAGTCAAAGATATCGAAAGTGTATTGAACTGTAAATTTGAGTTTTTCCCGCTGGAGAGCTGCATATTATTGACCAAAGGATATATTAATAATATGAAGACAGTTATGAGAAGTGTAGTTAACTTTTTGCCCTGAAGTTTAATAAGTATATTACAATAAATTAGAAAAGAGTGTACGGTTAGAAACAAACATGTACTTTGTTGTATAAAATAGACAGGCTGATCGCAGCTTTGTGCAGCACAAGACGTCTGTAAATGCTGTTAAACAGCTGCAGTGTAGACTTATTAACTCTCTCCGTCTTCAGACCGTATAAAAACGTCACAGAGTTTGACGGGCAGGACGCGTGCGGCTCTAATAGCTGGGTGATAACGGACGTGGAGCCGCCACAGCGGGCGCCCAATAGCAACAAGGACCCGGGCTGCATCCTCATGCCCCTGAAGCCCTGGACGCAGTACGCCATCATGGTCAAAACTCAGCTCTCCGTCTCTGACGAGCACCAGGTCTACGGAGCCAAGAGTGAGATCATCTACGTCAGAACCAACGCCACGCGTGAGTTTCAGCGCTGCTTGTTTTTATTACACAGTATTCTACAAGTTAGGTCTGCTCACGCAATCTGATTGGCTGGAAAATGGTCATGTGACAACAGCACATTTTTCACTCTGCTTGTATCAGTCCACTGACTCTCATTCCTCCCATTTACGTCGGCTCATTCACCTACAAACAAGTCAAATACTTTCCTTTGACTGACAACAAACTGCATGTACTCACTCAGGGCAGGTCCCCAAGCTCTAATCCACAGTTATACTGACCCGCACTCCTCTATGTGTTGTTTTTTCATCCCTCGTTCCTCCCATAGACTCCTATTCATTCATAACAATAACTAGGAACCACTTGGCAACCCCCTAACAACCACTCAGCGCTCACCCCTCATGCCATAGCAACCGCCTGGCATCATGATTCAGCTGCTCAATCACTCTAGGTTTTCCTCAGGAAATGCACTGTTCAAGTTCTTCTTTATTTTTTTCTTATTTTTGTGCTGGATTTTGTTCTAAGTCCCCAACATCGACAGCGTTCCACCTCCCGAGCGTTCAGGCTGATCGGGAATGGTGTGCTTGTATACAGCTTTTTGATCAGACGTACGGTTTTCATACAGTCTTCATTAAATTACGTGTTTTTCCTGTCGGAATGAATGGGGTGTAAAAGTGGCACGCCCATCTACTGTACTTCAGCTCGACCGAAAGACACTGTTACACATACACGTCTCAGGGCAGGCAGGAGCCCCAACTCAATATAGTTCTGACCCACAAAAAAAAAAAACAGTCTAAAAAAATTTGTTGTGTGTGTGTGTGTGTGTGTGTGTGTGTGTGTATGTGCGTGTGTGTAATCCACTACATTAGTTTCACATTTACATGTACATCGTATAAGTGGTTTCCCAATCTTCTGTACAATGTGCTGCACACCTGCAGTAATTGTGAAACCACTTGTATGATTTACACGTGTAATGTAAAAATTAATGCTGTGATAAAATATTGCAGAAGTTAGTTGATCACAAATTCCTGGCGGGACGTTAATACATATCCTCTTTAAACACTGCTCTGGGTCTGACACAAGCAGCAGGTCCCTGGTTGACTCACTGAAATGAATATAGTGAAGATGCCTGATTGACAGTCTGCTCTTCTACACTGGTTCTCTCATTGTAGGCCCGTCTGTTCCTCTGGACCCAATCTCCTCCTCGAACTCTTCCTCGCAGATCATCCTGAAGTGGAAACCTCCCGCCGACCCCAACGGCAACATCACTCACTACCGCGTGGCCTATCAGAAGCAGGAGGAGGACAGTGAGCTGTATAAGTTTGATTACTGCCAGAAAGGTGAGAGCTTTTATTTACTGCAGGCTCTCATACAGGGTCTCGTACGGGGCCAGGTGTCTGTTCGAGAACGGGACAAATGTTTTTAAAGATATTTTAAGCAGCCAAAGTTTTCAAATCAGTTCATTAAATTAGTAATTTGCACCCCATCTAATTGACTCATGAGTCAAATTCAAGACCTAATATGATTTACACTGACAGCATGGGTGCCTCAGAGAACACGACAGCAGGGTTACAGTGCTCTAAATTTCTGTGGCTCTCCGGACTTGCGCCACGGGTGAGCGCCTCGGCAAGGATGCCTAGGGTGCGCCTACGTCGAGATTTTTGAGATTCCGAGGTCCTGGTGGTTTGCTGAGGGCTAGCAATGCAATCCAGGGCTCGTCAGAAAGGCCAAGTCATGCTCTACTGTGACGTTTGACTTCTGGAGTCTGGCTTTGTTACGGATTTTTAAAGTCGTGTGTTGCAAAGCATTCCCTTCTCCTGTCGACTCGACTTTCATCACATAAATGTCGTGCAGCCTGAAGTCGTGCAACCTCTAGTACATAAGCTAATTGACTCGAGTCAAATTCCACATTATAAAATGACCATTATCAGCAATTAGAACCTACAACTAAAATGGGCTTAACTACAAACTTTTTTAATAAGTATCCAAAATAATTGGAATGTCATCACTGTATAACCGCCAGATGCCAATCAAACGCCAATTAGGGGCGGAGCCTACACAGTAAACAGTTCATACTCTGCTCTAGCTCAAAAGCGCTTTTCACCGATTGTCACGAAACTTCAGAGGCGTGTTCCTTAGACGTGAAAAATCCTTTTTAAAATTTCTAAATTTTATTGCAACTGCATTGCTAGAGGGCGCTGTATCATGCAAGAAAATGTTATGCAGCACAAGATTGTCTGTTTGACATGAAATTGTGCATGCTGCTACTGCGTCCTAATCTGGTTTAAGGTTCTGTGAGACATCATATCCAGAAAAAAACATGGCTAATTGGAATTCAGTAACGATTTGAAAGCCTTAGAATTGTCCAATCACCACAACGTCCTGTATATGTGCAAAACTTAACTGGCATGTGTACGCTAGGAGGGGGTGTTCAGCCTGATGGTAAAGGACAGCTTTGACACAGATTGTCTCTTGCAGCTGTATTTTGTTCTGTTTTTGTTTTTATTTTGAAATGTATATCCAGTAGCCATACAGCTTTAAAATGCTCATTAGATTATAAAAGATGTGCCTTATTTTATTAGTTGGTTGGACCGGTCATTAATAGTCGAGCATTTAAAGGTAACAGATGTCACTATTCACTTGTTAGATTGTTTATTGAAACTATATGTGAAAAAATTCATGTAACTGGACCTTTGCATGTTTTTTCATTGAGTAGCCCTGATTTACACCAAACCTACTTCAAACATACTCAGTCTTCAGAATGCAGCTTCAGTTTGACTTTCCCTGTGTTTGTTGAGACGATGCTTAACTGAAATCCACGTTCAGTCCTGAATCTGTGTGTCCTCTGCGGGTCCTGCAGGAATGAAGCTGCCGTCCCGGACCCCCACGCACTACAGCACGGAGGAGGAGCAGAAGTGGAACCAGACGGAGGAGCAGAGTCAGACCAGCAGCTGCTGCGCCTGCCCCAAAACGGAGACTCAGCTGAAGAAGGAGGCCGAGGAGTCAGAGTTCCGCAAAACCTTCGAGAACTACATCCACAACGAGGTCTTCGAGCCGAAGTATGACATCACCATCTCACTGGTTAATTTCAAATGAGCTGTACTGAAATATACAGAGCAGGAGAGCATTCAGGTTATCAGTAGACCAAATAGACCTGTTGATGACATGAATGCCTTGAATTCTGTACATATCCGGAGCTGTGATTGGCCAGCATGCTCACAGTAATCAGCACTCTGATTGGTTTAGAGGCTCATTTGCATATTACAGCCTTTTGTGATATCAGTATAGGATTAATTAGTCCATCATACACTTAATATCAGTATACAGGACTGTGGAAAAACTCAGAGCCCACCCTTCATATGTTTCAATTACAGTCAAAACAGAATTTATCCAAGTTATTCATTTTTATTCATATAAAAAAAAGCAGAAAACATGTTCAACAGAAAATCACACAGAATTCATAACAACTTCAGGAGACTCACTTTCAGTTCCTCAAAGAATCTGCAGACACACCTCCAAAGTTCAGTCTTAGAAGCTGGTTGATCATTTTCTGAAGTAATCAAACACATTCAGTGGTGTTGAGGTCTGGACTCTGGGGTGGTCAGTCCATCGTTCAGCTTCTTTGTTTGATGTGTCCGTCTCCTTTTCTCAGTGAGGTTCTTCTTGATCAGCTACACATCCTTTCAGACCCACAGCGCTGAGTCGTCTTCTCACAGCGGAAGGATGGACAGAAACACCTGTGGATGTTTTCAGATCTGAAGCAGCTTGATTTTCTCCTCTCTCTCAGAGATGAGAGCTTTAAGTGCTGTTTATCTGATGGGGGCAGTTTGGGGGGTCGACCAGCTCTTGCGGTTGTTAGGAATCACATTTGTTTTTGCAAGTTGATTAACTTGTATCTTCTCAGAAATATCTCCTTTAGTCAATTTAGATGAACATGAGAGAGAAATGCGTCTCTTTGAAAGGGATCATAATGTCAGTGACTCCTCTGGGAGCAGCTGTAGTTGGGAGGACACAGCTGGAACTCACCTGTTTTAAGACCGGAAGGATGGAAGAGGTAAAGTGGCAGGAGGTACATTCAGTCATGTATGCACTACTAGCCTTAATTCTTACTTTCAGAGCTGCAGCTTTAATAGTGCAGAAGGTCTCTTGTTGGACGAGGGGCATGAAGTGAGCCAGCACTGAGTACAGCTGGTCTCCGCTACCTGCCGCGATCGCTCAGCGTGTTACAGTAGCCCGAGCGAGGGGCAAGTGCTGCAGATCACGCAAAACCAATCAGAGAGACAGAGAGAGAGACTCCAGAGGCCACCTAGGAGTGGATCTCTAAATCAGTGTGGGTTTCTGATCCTGACATCAGCACACACTTTCTCTTCTGCTCTGTTCTCTGCTCATTTACACGCCGCTGGGAGCTGTCTGTCCACACTGGACTTTAGATAGAGCAGTTTAGATACTTTAAAAGCCCCTGCAAGGTGAACGTTTGACTTTTTAAACGGAAATTTGTTTTCAAGCAGACACAATATCAGAAACCCCTCTTACGTAGCTCCACCTTGCTGCTGTAGAGTTAGAGATCATCTGTTGATGCACAGTTAATAACGGGACAGCAGTGGTCCTGTGGTCAGAAACAGACCTTTATGAATTTAGTAGAGGGGGCTGATAAACAGATGGACTACAGTCTGTAACTGTACACCTACATAGTGGAGCTATAAGGTAGGTGTTTCTGATAAAGTGGCCCGTGAGTGGAAGTACAAGGTCAGTGTTTCTAATAAAGCGGCCAGTGAGTAGAAGCACAAGGTAGGTGTTTCCAATAAAGTGGCCACTGAGTGGAAGCACAAGGTAGGTGTTTCTAATAAAGTGGCCACTGAGTAGAAGCGCAAGGTAGGTGTTTCCCATAAAGTGGCCATTGAGTGGAAGCACATAGTAGGTGTTTCTGATTAAGTGGCCAGTGAGTGGAAGCGCAAGGTAGGTGTTTCTATTAAAGTGGCCACTGAGGGTATTTTGTGTGTGTATGTTAAAGATGGTGACTGGATGAATTTTAAAGACCAGCATAGCTAAATGCTGGATGCAGTCTATAGAAAAGTTTGCATTGTCTCGTGGCGAGAGCTGGGGTTTTTCGGTTGTTATTGCAATATTCACCTTTGGAATATTAATATTGCAAAAGTTTGCAATTAGTTATAGTCTGTTAGAATATGTTGCAAAGCATATCACAGTCATAATATGCAGAAATGCACATCCAGTACTGGCATTTTGTCCATATCCTGCCAAATTATCTTGGGCTTTTTTCTTTTTTCGTTTTTTTTATTGGTCAGGGTTTTTAATGTCCCTGCTAGAGACCAGAACTCATTAGCGTTTGACTGAAACCCCCAATACACCCACTTTAAGTAGCTGCTTCACTGCCTCTGAAATTAGCTTTAACCAGAAAGTCTCTGAACAATTATAGTGCCCTCTGGTGGTGTCTTGGTAAACAGCCACTGAAGTTGAATGAGTATTCTGCAGTGGCTGGCGCCATCTAATGGTGTGCAGTGTTGATGGCTGGAGGTTGTTGTGGTTTAAAGGGCCAGCCAACAGTTTTAAACAAAGGTCATCAAGTCCAGAGGCGGCTAATCTTTTGCTTGACTGTTATACAATGCTAGTGGAGTGAGGTGAGCTCACCTGCTGGCCCGCGTAATTGAAAGATATTTGAGGAAAGAAAAGGGGAAGGATGCCAAGCTTTGTGGCCTTAACTGCTTAGCTGTGGAGGTCTGTTCGCACTTGTTTTAGGCTAATGTTTTTCTGGATAAATGTTCCTTTTTCTCTTGACCTTCTCTCTCTCTCTCTCTCTCTCTCTCTCTCTCTCTCTCTCTCTCTCTCTCTCTCTCTCTCTCCCTCCCCGTCTCCTCTTTGTTAGACCCTCCCGACGTCGCCGATCTTTGGGAATAGCTAACTCCACCCACTCTGCAGTCTTGGTTACACCCCCCAGTTTTCCCAACATCTCCGCCCCCACTGTAGGGCCGGAGGACGAGAAGAGGAAACTGGTGATGACTGTCAGCTCGAAGGAGTCCATCGTCATCTCCAACCTTCAGCACTTCACCAGCTACCAGATCGAGATCCAGGCCTGCAATCACCTCACTGACCTCGCCTACTGCAGCATGGCCACCTACGTCAGCGCGCGCACCATGCCTGAGGGTGAGCGTCCACCAACCAGCCTCAATATCCACAACTTTAGGCTGAAGTTACTATCTGAACCTGATTTTTGCAAAGGCCTTCTCAAACAGTCTCCTCGTCGTCGTTATTGTTGTTACTGTATTTATCAGTTATTAAATGTCTGTGATTTGTTGTCTGTAGCTAAAGCAGATAATATCTTGGGCCCTGTGACTCATGAGATCCTTTCAGAAGAGCCGGAGTTTGTGTACATCAGGTGGCAAGAGCCGAAAGCGCCGAACGGCATGATCATCCTATACGAGGTCAACTACCATCGAGTCTCTGATAATGAGGTTGGTGTCAGCTTTGAAGCGCATCAGCACAGATAATGCAACAATGCAACAATATAACATTTCATACGGGGTAGAATAAGGCTGGGCGATACGGCAAAAACATATCATGATACATAATTTATATTGATGGTACATGAAATTTACCCCAGTATTTCATTTTCTGAGGTTTACGAACAATATAAACTGGACAAACTGCTCCAGAAAACAAATGCTATAAACAAGATATGTGTAAAAGTTTGAACACCCTGGTCAAATTCCATGTTTTGTTGACTTTCTAAGTAACTCATACACTTAATCACTTAACACGTCGTCTACAGTGAACACACCTAAACCTGACATTTTTCTGCAATTCTTAGCTCACAATTTTAACATAAAATACAAAATGTGCCGTAACTTTTGCACCGACCACACCTAAAATGTGGGCCCTGCAAGGTTATGACACATTTCATATTTTATGTTTCATATTTTTTGCTGTTAAATTCAGCAAGTATACAGTAATTTTGCATTACAGTGTGCAGAAGTGTGTCTCTGTAGAGGATGTGTTCACTTGCTTTCACTTTGAAAATCAACAAAATGTGAAATTTGACCAGAAGTGTTCAAAAATAGCAACAGCCACTACTACTATACTGTGTATTTGGCCTTTTTATGTTGTTTGATTATCCAAAAGTGCTGCCTGCACTCATCATATACATCATATACATAGAAAAGGGTATGAAAGGAAGCAGCAGTTTCAATTCATTGTTTGCCAGATCAGCAGTTTTGGCTGAGCTGGTGCTTTAATTCAATTGTGGCTGAAGTCTTCTGTTTAATGACTTTGCCAGACAGACAAATGTGTTTTTAAGGACTCCCTGTGCGGAGAAGGTAGTGTTTCTGTTGCTATAGAAACCGTCTGAGCTGTCTTGCTGCGCAGACAGAATTTAGCTGAATGGTAGGTGCCTTAGTTTTCAGTGTTGTTGATTCACTACCTTTAGTCACTGTGTTAACCAAGAATACCTACCAACTTACTGATATGGATCTCTCTCTGTCTCTCTCTCTCTCTCTCTCTCTCTCTCTCTCTGTCTCTCTCTCTCTCTCTCTCTCAGGAGTTTCATCACTGTGTGTCCAGGATCAGCTACGAGAAGACCAAAGGCTGTAAATTACGAGTTGGCCATCCTGGGAATTATAGCATCCGAATCAGAGCGACTTCCTTGGCTGGAAACGGCTCCTGGACCGAACCCACGTACTTCTTCATGCCAGACAGTAAGCTTCAGTCTGACCACACCCACTTCCTGTCTATCATAAGCCTGGGGAATTTACTGTACACACTGAAGAGAGAGTGGAGACATGATTGGACATGAGAAAGGCACCATTAAACATTAAATCTTAAAGGAAACAGCACCACTGAACATACTAACGTGGCTAAATACGAATACTTAAAGAGTTCATTTATATGGTTCACCCCTCCAAAATAAGCGGCCGTGTAAAGCCGGGAAATCTCCGTTATGGTTTTGCTCAAGTCGTGCTCGGTTTGGTTTTTTTTTTTCTGTTTTATTGCAAGTGATGTGCTCAGAATGCTCATAAGAGACTTTCTGCTCATCGCAGAACAAAGCCCCTCTCTCTCTCTTAGATTATGATTTTAAGCTGCACTTTGTAATTTTGGGGGATTTGGAGACCTCTGTGGTGAAAATGTGTAATTGCATGCAATATGCAGAAGAACATCTGTAGCGTGGGTTGTGCTTCGCACCCCTTCCCCAAGTGGATGAATCTGCTGATTGAAAGAGAATTCAGAGATCTCAGTCTAAACTTGGTGAAGGAGCGTCTTCGAGGATGTGAGGGCCCAACCCGATGCCTCTAACTTTTAAATGATTATTTCAAGCTTTACGGGGCTACTCGCAACGGCACGACACAGCATATTTTAGCCTGTTTTTATTCTCCTGACTCAGTAAACAGATCTTACATAGTGCAGCTTTAATGGTAGAAAAGGTCTATACATGCATCAGTAACTTACACAGTTTCAAGGCTGTGAATATAAGCTTTTTGCTGCGTTCACATGTTGGCAGTGCCCCCTGCTGGCTGCGGCAGAAAGTGTAAAGATCTGATTTTCCCAACTTTTTCCGTCAGCAGTGGAATAAACCGTACGTTTTTTTTTTTTGGGAGCAGTCCAGGATCACCCAGTATTATACAACCAAAAATTAAAAGAGTACAGAGTGTCACCTGAAATAAACGGTCCACACTGCTGAAGCTCTCTTCTGATAATCATCCAAGCACACTGTGGCAGCATGGATCTCAACATGAATCTCACAGTTCATATGTAAGGTTGTATATACAGTGTGTGTGTATACTCATGTCTAACTGCCCTCGTTTCCCTCAGATTACATGAACGTGAAGATCATCATCGGCCCCGTTATCCTGCTGATCATCCTGCTCTTCATCGGAACTGGAGCCTTTGTGGTTTTCAGGAAGAAGTACGTATCTCACCGCTGTTTCCTTCACAGACTGACTTTCAGCGTAAATACTGACGCTTTTTCTCTCCTCAGGCAAACTGAAGGACCTACAGGCCCCCTCATCGCCTCCTCAAATCCGGAGTACATCAGCGCTAATGACGGTAAACATCAACATCCGTGGCCATATTAACCACATAAGCTATACAGTCGTGTTCATTCATTTTTATTAGTTTATTAGTTTATGTGCCCCCTGATCAAATTCTATGTCTCGCTGATTTTCTGAGTGTAAATAAGTGAACACATCCACTACAGAGACACACTACTGCACACTTTAATACACAATTACTCTTTATTTGCTGAATTTAACATACTGGGGGAAAAAGACATAAAATGTGGTTATGAAAGGCCCATTTTATATTTTAGGTTTCATTTTTTTCCAGTATGTTAAGCTCAATATAGTCATATGCGAAAGTTTGAATAGCCAACATGTTTTGTTGATTTTCCAAGTAAAGTAGCAAGAAAACAAACTTGAATATAACATTACTGCTATTTTAGTGCACATATATATATATATATATATATATATATATATACTGGATATATCCAGTATGTTAAATTCACCAGATAAACAGTAACTGTGCGTTAGTAGTGTGTAGAAGTGTGTTCTCTGTAGAGGACGTGTTAAATGCATAAATAACTGTATAAATAACTGTAAAAACACATTAATACAATAGAAAGTAAGCAGAAAGCTTTACTGTGTTGCAAGCTGGTTAGTAGAACCTGGCCAGACACGTTTGTCTCATTGTAGTGTTTTTAGGTGCTCACCACTCAGAGAAGCAGCTGTAAATATAATTTCCTCAGGTGGTCTGAACCCAGAACAGCTCTGTAGCCGTGACTGCTGTGTTTGTCCTGTGCAGTGTACGTCCCTGATGACTGGGAGGTGGCGCGGGAGAAGATCACGGTTTTGCGTGAGCTGGGTCAGGGCTCTTTCGGGATGGTGTACGAGGGCATCGCGAAGGACATTGTGAAGGGTGAGCCGGACACGCGCGTGGCCGTGAAGACGGTGAATGAATCGGCGAGTCTGAGGGAGCGAATTGAGTTCCTCAACGAAGCTTCGGTCATGAAGGCTTTCAGCTGCCACCATGTGGTGAGTGTAACACCCTGCAGTAGAATACGGTTTAAACATCTAACTGATTAATTAATCTTATTTTTTTTAAATCTTATTTAATTTTAAATACCATAATTACTTTTACAACTTCTTTGGAGTAAAAAAATTTCACCAAAAGGACATCTTTTATGTTTTATTCAGCATTCTGTGAACAATAGATTAATAAAATGGTAATAAACTGTAATTAATGACTGCCAGAATAGAAGCCATATCGCCCCCTACTCTTCCTGTAGTGTATTACAGTCTGTCAGAGTGACTGTGTGGATCATATGAACATTATAGAGGCTTTTTAAATGAAACAGTAGAAGCCATATCGCCCCCTACTCTTCCTGTAGTGTATTACAGTCTGTCAGAGTGACTGTGTGGATCATATGAACATTATAGAGCTTTTTAAATGAAACAGTAGAAGCCATATCGCCCCCTACACTTCCTGTAGTGTATTACAGTCTGTCAGAGTGACTGTGTGGATCATATGAACATTTTAGAGCTTTTTAAATGAAACGGTAGAAGCCATATCGCCCCCTACTCTTCCTGTAGTGTATTACAGTCTGTCAGAGTGACTGTGTGGATCATATGAACATTATAGAGCTTTTTAAATGAAACAGTAGAAGCCATATCGCCCCCTACACTTCCTGTAGTGTATTACAGTCTGTCAGAATGACTGTGTGGATCATATGAACATTATAGAGGCTTTTTAAATGAAACAGTAGAAGCCATATCGCCCCCTACACTTCCTGTAGTGTATTACAGTCTGTCAGAATGACTGTGTAGATCATATGAACATCATACAGAAGTATAGATTTGTAATTTACAATTGAATTAACAAAGATTCTGAATAGTTTCAGCCCTAATAAGAGTGTGAAAACCGTGTGTCTGATGTCGTGTGTGTGTGTTTGTAGGTGCGTTTGCTGGGTGTGGTTTCGAAGGGGCAGCCGACACTGGTAGTCATGGAGCTGATGACTCATGGAGATCTGAAGAGCTACCTGCGCTCCCTCAGACCTGATGCTGAGGTGAACACACACACACTCATTTCTGACACGTTCTCCAGATTTTCTGTACATTAACACCTTAATCTGCAGGTGTACTCAGTTATTAATTTTAACGTAAAGCTTGTTATTCAGTAGCAACTCTGAATTATTTAGTAACTGCTATGAATATTTCAGTATCAACTATGAATTATACATTAACTACTATGAATTATCCAGTAATTATTATGAATTATTTAGTAACTGCTCTGAATTATTCAGTATCCACTATAAATGTTTGAGGTATTCAGTAACTGCTATGACTTATTCAGTATTTGCATTAAATATTTGTGTCTACTATGAATTATTCAGTCGTTATTATGAATTATACAGTACCATAAATTAAGTATCTACAGTGAATTATTCAGTAGTTATTATGAATTATACAGTATCTACTATAAATTAAGTAACTGCTATGAATTATCCAGTACCTATTATGGGTTATTCAGTAACTACTATGAGTTATTTAGTTACTACAGTGAATTTTTCTGTATCCACTAAGAGTTTTCTACTGTGACCTGCTCAGTATCTACTTTAAATTATTGAGTAACATTTATGAATTATTCAATATCTACTATAAATTATTCAGTAACTGCTATATATTATTCAGAAACGAGTGTGTTTGTATAGTTTTAGCTTTTACCAAACTACACTAGCTGCCCACTGTGGCTCTGACAGCTGCTCTTTCTCCTCCGGGTGCAGAATAACCCCGGCCGGCCGCCGCCCACGCTGAAGGAGATGATCCAGATGGCGGCGGAGATCGCTGATGGCATGGCCTACCTCAACGCTAAGAAGTTTGTGCACAGAGACCTTGCTGCTAGAAACTGCATGGTGGCCGAGGACCTCACCGTCAAGATCGGCGGTAAAACCCAAGCCTGAATGCACTTCAGTCGTGATCAGATTAAACTGTTTATGAAAGGCCCACAGTCGTCTGGTGCTGAGCTGGTGTGAATGCAGTTTAACAAACTGAGCGTACATTCAGACTGGAATTCAAATAATAACCAGCTTATGTTCGATATGGGAAGCATTTCTTTAATTAGAGGAAGAAGAAGCACTTTGCTTGCTTAAAAACTCAAATGTACAAGTTTTTGGTTTGTTTAACAATTGTTTAAAAAAAGAAAAAAAGATTGAAAATAATTCTAAGACAATAATAGTAATGATAAAATAAAATGATGATTAAAACAATCAAATAAATGATACCAAAAAAGTAATATTAAATAATAAATAAATCAACAAAGAAAACAGCAAAAAATACTGATTAAAAAATTACTGATTAAAAGTTTAAAATGTGTTTTTTTAGATTTATGTATTAAATTATAGAAAAAAGTTCGTTTTTTATCATGTTTCTGCTTTTTTTACGTACTTAACTTTAACTTACTGTTTCATTGTAAAGCACTTTGAGCTGCTATGTGTAATTATTATTATTATCATTATTATTATTATTATTATTATTATTTGTGAGGCAGAATTAACAGTGTTCGAGTTGAGGGAAAGTGTCTGATGTTAGCTAATTTAAGCTACTTTGGGTAAAAACATTAACTGACTGTGTATGTTAACCTGCACCTTTTTTCAGATTTTGGCATGACGCGTGACATTTATGAGACGGATTATTACCGTAAAGGAGGGAAGGGTTTGTTGCCGGTGCGGTGGATGGCCCCGGAGTCTCTGAAAGACGGAGTTTTCACTGCGCACTCAGACTGCTGGTGGGTTTCAAACGTCTCTCACGGTTTTTAATATCACTGCTGTGTCTGATCCACTCAGACCAGTGCAACACTCACTAACACACCACCACCATGTCAGTATTACTGCAGTGCTGAGAATGCTCCACCACCCACATGGTACCTGCTCTGTGGGGGTCCATGGGGGTCCTGACCACTGAAGAACAGGGTAACAGAGTATGCAGTGAAACAGATGGACTACAGTCTGTAACTGTAGAACTACACAGTGCTGCTAAGTGCTGATGGGGACAGTTTTGCTGTCTACCTGGTCTTCCAGGTGGACTACTTTTTAGACGCAGCGTCCAGACTGGAATACACTGAACGAGCATCAGCTTCCAGGATCTTTCACACCTAACGAGCTGCCTGTTCACTCAGAACACCGCATGATTGCTCTGACCGCTGTATCATGACGTCTTTATGATGCAGAGCTTTTAATTCAGCTTCATGTTCCACTGATCTTCTGATCGTCACCCAGATGTTCTTAATATTCTTAGATATTCTGAGTTTTACGTGTGTGTCTGCAGGTCGTTCGGCGTGGTTCTGTGGGAGATCAGTACGTTAGCGGAGCAGCCTTATCAGGGCCTGTCCAACGAGCAGGTGCTGAAATTCGTCATGGACGGAGGATATCTGGACCAGCCAGATGGCTGCGCCGAGAGAATGTAAGTTTAATAATTATATATATTTATCACTGTTTTCGGAACAAAACCTTGTATCTCCATTTTTGTCGTTTTCGGTTTTTGACATAATTGACACAAAACCTACTGTCCTTTATATTGTGTGTAAATTTCATGAAGGATGGACCAAAAGAAACGACCAAAAATGACTTGGTAAAACTCTGGTTCCATTGACTTACATTAAAAGTAAAGTAGGTTTTTTCCTTCTCCTGTAAATCAATCAGCCTTTATTTAACCTCGGAGAACATTGAGGATGACCCTCATTTACAGTGTTGCTGAGTTAATACAGGGAAAAGGGATCGATAATGTGTAAGAACATATTAAATAATAAAAGTAAATTTAATAATAAAAATGACTCAAATCAGGCAAGTATAAAGCATTACTACATAAAATACAGTAGAAAATATAAAGCGGTAGTTAAAGTGTGACTAAAATGTAGAAGTTAATCAAATCAAAAGAAGATAAATAAAACAAAAGGAGGATAAGATCAAAAATGGAAACTAAAATTAATTAATATGACTGAAGTAATAATAAAATAATCATAATTAAAACAACAATAAGAATATGAGTAATTCTTTTCTTTTTTTCTCTGTTTTCTCCCCCAAAATGTTAAACTCAACATGTGCACCAGAATTTGTAGGAAAATGCCGTATTCGGCTGGGTCTCTGGAGAGGACATGTAACTGATTTTCACTTAGAAAGTCAACAAAAACATGTTAGTCCAGGGGTTAAATTTGCATATGACTGTAGGTTTCATAAAAGATGAATATTCAGATTGTAATATATTTAGGTATACTGTTATACTTGGCCATTGGCTTTTTATTTATTTACGTAAAGTTGTAGAATTCTTTGCTGTGCTTAAAATGTCTTGTTTTAAAAAATTTACCTGTATTAAAATCTGTAATTTTTACTGTGATTGCAAATTCACTGCATTGTTGCATATTAAATTAGATTTATGTTCAGTTTTCATTGAACAGGTTTGAGTCTGAGCTGCTGATCTTTTTTTTTCAGTGTTAAAAAGATGAAAAATTTGTATCTCTCTCCTTCCTCTCCCTCTCTCTATCTCTATCTATCTCTCTCCATCCCTATCTATCTCTCCCTCTCCCTCTCTATCTGTCTATCTCTCTCTCTCCATCTCTATCTATCTCTCCCTCTCTGTATCTATCCCTCTCTCTCTCTCTCTCTCTCTCTCTCTCTCTCCATCACTATCTATCTCTCCCTCTCTCTGTATCTATCCCCCCCCTCTCTCTCTCTCTATCTCTGTCTATCTGTCTCCCTCTCCCTTTCTCTCTATCTGTCTCTCTCCCTCTCTCTCTCTATCTCTGTCCCTCTCTCTATCTCTGTCCCTCTCTCTCTCTCTATCTGTATATCGCTCTCTCTATCTCTATCCGTCTATCTCCTCCCTCTCCCTCTCTATCTCTCTCTCTCGCTCTCTCTATCTCCTCCCTCTCTATCTCCTCCCTCTCTCTCTCTCTGTCTATCTCTCTCTTCCTCTCTCCCTTCTCTCTATCTCCCCCTCTTTCTATCTCTATCTGTCTCTCTCTCTCTCTGTGTCCCTCTCTATCTCCCCTCTCTCTCTCTCTCTCTCTCTCTCTCTCTCTCTCTCTCTCTCTCCTCTCTCTCTCTATCTCTGTCCCTCTCTCTCTCTCTATCTGTATATCGCTCTCTCTATCTCTATCCGTCTATCTCCTCCCTCTCCCTCTCTATCTCTCTCTCTCGCTCTCTCTATCTCCTCCCTCTCCCTCTCTATCTCCTCCCTCTCTCTCTGTCTATCTCTCTCTTCCTCTCTCCCTCCTCTCTATCTCCCCCTCTTTCTATCTCTATCTGTCTCTCTCTCTCTCTATGTCCCTCTCTATCTCCCCTCTCTCTCTCTCTCTCTCTCTCTCTCTCTCTCTCTCTCTCTCTCTCTCCCTCTATCCCCCTCTCTCTATCTCTATCTATGTCTCTCTCTATCTCTATCTCTATCTCTATCTCTGTCGCTCTCTCTCTATCTCCCCCCTCTCTCTTTCTCTCTCTCTTTCTATCTCCTCACTCTCCCTCTCCTCTTTCTCTCCCTCCCCCTCTCTCTCTCTCTCTCTCTCTCTCTCTCTCTCTCTCTCTCTCTCTCTCAGGCACAACCTGATGCAGATGTGCTGGCAGTACAACCCGATGATGCGGCCCACCTTTACTGAGATCATCGAGATGCTGAAGGACGACCTGCATCCTTCCTTCCAGGAGGTCTCCTTCTTCTACAGCGAGGAGAACAAGCCTCCGGAGAGCGAGGAGTTCGACATGGACTTCGAGAACATGGAGAGCATCCCCCTGGACCCCTCGTCCTACTCACAGAGGGAGGAGGGCTTCAGCCGGGACAGCGGCCCCAGCATGGGCCTGAGGGGCAGTTACGAGGAACACGTGCCCTACACGCACATGAACGGGGGCAAGAAGAACGGCAGAATCCTCTCTTTACCCAGATCCAGCCCATCCTAACGTCTCCTCACCTTTCGGCTTCCTGAGTTTTGTTTATTTTTTTTCTCGGTTGTTTTTAATCGTGCTGTTTTTGCAGAGGCCCTTAAAAACACAGATCTCAGGTCTATTTTTTTGGACTTCCTACCTGCTGCCCTGGCGAACACGGATGCAGACTCTCGTTCTTCTCCCGGTCATCCGTGTCGCCGCTCGCTTACACCTTGTCTCCTTTCGTTTTATTTCTCTTTAGCCAAGTTTTCCTGGTCGGAGAGTAAAAAAACTGTGAAAATGAACCTCTAATAACCAGAAAGGCTGCTTCAGCTGAACCTCCTCCCCTCGTGCTCTTTCCTCGTCTCTTTATTTTTCTAAAGTGATTCTTTTCAGATAGTGGCCTTTCTATGAGTGGCCTAAACACACAACACAGAGAGGAGCGTCTCGGTGCTTGGATCCGTTCCCTCTGTGCGGTGACGGAGCCAAGGGACGGCGCGGACTCGGTCTAAGAACAAACGTCGTCTTTTTTCACGGAGGAGCCGCTTCGTTTTGCCCTGGAGAATCCCTGACTGGTGTTTGGTGAATGAGTTTTAATTTATTTGCTTCACTTTTACTTTTCCTGTCTCTCAGTTTTTACCTGTATCCTTTTTTTATGACTGAAGGATATTTAAACAGTTATGGATTGGACAAAGGTGTTCCTCAGACTGACCAAAAGCTGCTGCTTTGATAAATAGTGGGTATAAATATATAATATATATGATATATAGAATATTGATGGGTGTCAATATTTTATATATAGTACACGAACATTGAAATTTTTGTACATAGTTTGTTTTAGCATTTTTTAATTTTTTTCATCTGATATCATATTTTCTTTCAGTAATTACAGTGTCTTTTATTTGTTTTTTGTGTTTTTTTTTTTTTTTTTTTTTTTTTTAAGTAATTCTCATCCAAAACAGACACACAAGTACCTTTAATTGACAGTGTGACATACAGGGGGCGCTATTTTTGGGCGTTTTGGCAGGAGAGAGAGAAAAAAGTAAAAACTATTTGTAAACACAACCACATTTTTCAGCAAATAACACTGATCGCTGTCCTTGGCCTTGCTGGAACTGTGTAAAAGGGGCAGCAGGTGGCCTGTCTGAGTCCATCTTTTACAGGATGTGTTGATTTTAAAAGTGTATTCGGTTTAGTTGAGTGCATTTTGGGGGGTTTCAGCAGCTCCTGAGTGATAAACTGTTGGGATCTGAGAGAGATCGATGGAAAAGGCTGTTTTGGTCAGTTTTTAAAGCACCAGTAGCTGGTTTTAGGTTCAGCAGCACATTTTGGGGGTCACTGTGTTGCTATGGGTTGCTACAATTCCATAGCTGTGTCCCAATTCAGGGGCTGCATCCTTTGAAGGACGTGGTCTATGAAGGCGTGTCCTGCGAAGGCTGTGTAGACCCGCGAGGGCTGAACCGAAATGAGACGGTCTGCTCTACGGCAGCAGCGCTGTTCCCAGCTTTACTGCTGCGTCACGAAACGCCGCTCTTGTCAAGTTCTTTAAAAGTTCTTTAAAGACGGAGCCACAAACTTTGATTTTAGTTTTATTTTTTCATTTATTAGAGCTGGAGATGCTTCTCTCCGTCGGCTCTTTGCTCCCTACAACAAAACGAAACATTAGCGCAAGTTTTGCTTCAGACCACATTGGCCTTTTTTAACACCTGTGTCTTTAGCTATTCGTTTCAGTTTAAACCCAATACTTACATTTAAAGTGTCTCCTCAGCTCCTCTGCTGACGCCGCCATGTTCTCGAATCCTCGCCGGCACGCAGTGAACCTCGGGATATGTTGGCTGGCAAAGGATCCGCCCATTGCCATGGAAATAGACACATTTCTTGGCCGCATATGAAGGAGCCTTTGAAATGGGACGGCCTAGTCGCGCCACTGTGACACAATCGGCCTTCAAATGCAGCCTCTGAAGGACGCAGCTCCTGAATTGGGACGCAGCTCCTCACTGTGTTCATAGAAGTTCACACTGACCACCTGTTCCAATAGACGTGTTAGCTAGCGTCAGGCTAGTGCTGTAACAAGTGGATGGGACGGTTTGTGGTTTTAATGACGTGTCGCGATACAAAACCCAATGAACAGTGCACCGTTACAAGCTTTCACAGTTTTAATAATCACATATGATCAGCTTAAAAAGCTCAACGTGACGTAAGCAGGTCTAATTTGTATAGTAAACAGAAGCAGATTTCATATTTATTTATGCTGCAGGTTCATTAAAAAGTCAGTATAGGATCAATATAGTGTCTGTGGCAAAATAATCCCAATAGCGAGCATATATGAGTCCGCTGGCTTAAAGAGGTCGGCACCCTGCAGACTGTTTGCCACTGGTGGTCCCCCCTTGGACCACCTAGATAACTGTCCTGCATACAAGGTCTAACTACACTCATAAACAAGGCGTTTCTTCAAGAAAAGGGTTCTATATAGAACCAGGTTGATGGAAAATGTGCATAAATGTGCAGCAGATGGTTCTTGTTCTCTATAGAACCTTTTTCAAAAGGACCCACAGGGTTTTTCTGTTGTTACAAGCTTGGCATCATAACGATAGAAGAACCCTTTTGGGTGCTATATAGGAAGCGGTTCTATGTAGAACCATGAACACGTTTGCATGATTAAAGTGTTCTTTGCCTCATGAAAGGCTTCTTCGGTTTAATGGAGAAGGTGATGTAGATGTTTCCATATAGAACCGTTTTCTTTGCTAAAGAACGCTTGAAGAAGCATCTTTTTTTAAGAGTGTAGTTTTCAGTCTTTAAACAGATTTTAATCGCGAAGGTAAATATAACAAACAATTGAGACAAAAAATTAATCGCCAGGCCGAATATAAATGGATTTATTTGAAAATGTTGTTGCTGGATTAGTTACAGCTGTATAACCGGCTTTATTTCTGATACTGCTGTAAAAATGATTCATTAATGTAATTTACGAAGGATAACGAAAGAAAGAAATAAAAGAAAGGATAAATGAAATGGACTGTGAGTGGAAAATGAGCAGAAACGTGTTTTGTCTTATGCTACTTGGTGCTAACACTAGCACTGACCTGCTAACCTCTTTGTTTGTTAGCATGTAGCATTTAAACATTGAGTTTATTTTATGATCAATCTAGAAAACAGTGACAATTTCTGGTCACTAGCCATGAAGCAAAATACTCATACTGTCCCATCCCTGGTTATTAAGTCTATAAAGATCATGTGGTCAGTCAGTCATGGGGCTGGACGCTAATGATGCTAATGACACTGTTTAGCTACGTCACTTAGCAGACCTAAAACATTCCGCTGTGCTTTCCCCAGATTTCTCAACCAAACCTCATAGCGTGTAAGAACTGGCGCTCATTTTTAAGTTTCAGTTTGTGTAAAGCAGGCTGTCGGTCAGCTGTTGCTGTCCAGATGAGACGTATATTGTCCACACACAGCAGCTGACTTTTATTTTTATGGTCTCCGCTCACAGTTTTGAAATATTCGCTCCAGCCCCAGTTTTCCGTGCCTTTTCCATCAATCTGAGACTAGTTGAGCGTGGCTAAAGCGCGTTGGCTGTCGTCAAGCAGTGTTTAGGTGAAAACGGAGGTGTGTGTGTTGTGGTGGACAGGTGTTTATTTGGGTAGACAAAGACGATGTTGAGCCAGGACGGATACTTTAAGAGATAAAGATGAGATTAGTCGAAAATGCTAGCTTGGCTAAAAGTGGATGGAAGTTAGCAGGCCATGCTAATGCGCTACAACACTAGCCTACTCTCGTTTTTATCCTCGCTCGCACTTTTGGCCGATCTTTTAATTTAGCACACTGACTTTTTGAGATCACCAGTTACCCGTAAACCAGTCATGGTATTTTTCAGGTGACTATTTCTACTTTTTACCACATTGGCCACATTTTAGATATGGAAACAGTAAAGTATCATGTGAGTAAAAATGCTTAAAAAAATAAACAAATAAAAGCTAATGCTAACTCCCTCACAGCTCTTCATACACTATTGCCATGACGGTGTATGGAATTTTTCTAATTCACAAGACACCCATATCGTTTGAAAAGACAGATTTTATTTATTTTTATTATAACAGTGATCGTTGTATAAAAAATCCTGCTAGCTTTTATTACAGTAATTTTTTAAAGGCGGGTAAATTAGATTTTTTTTTCTTCCTACAGAGAGAGATACAGGCTGAGCAGGCAGTTGGTAGAGTCTAGTAATGGTGATTTCTTTTTTCCTGTATGTGTTTGGACACAGTCTACCTCAGTATTCTTTCAGAATATAGTAGAGCCAAGTGCATCTCTCTCCAGTGCCCATTATTTCACTAACTCTGTGACCAGAGTTCCTCATAATTCCAAAATATTGCGTACAATGCCCCGCCCCCCCAGCCAATCTCTTTAGTTTACTATATTTATTTATTTATTTGATTTTTTTTTTCTTTGCAGACGACTTTAAAGTCACATTCAACCCCAAAGATTTGACTGATCACATCAGCTGCATACAGTTCATACATTATGTCAGTATGTACCAGCAAATGAAAACGGGACCTGATTTGAAATCCTAAATTGACCTTTCTGTATCTTCAACCTGAGGTTTTTTTTCTTGGGCCTTGATTTTTTTTAACAACAGTCGGTGTATTTCTCACTATTTGTAACTCTCCAGCTCCATGTTGTGGTCATTTCTTTGGTATTCGAGGTCCCTGCTGTTCTTCAGGAAGCCTTTTGCTGTAAACCAGCACTCATTTTTTGGGAAAAATGAAGCTTCTGAAGTTGAACAGTCAGTGCAGCATTGATTGGTTCAAATTTTGTTTGAAATATTTGCCAAAATTGAACTCTTGGCTGTGATCAACACCCAGTTTGGAATTCAGTATAATACCCTAAAACTACTGAGCCCTGCTGGTGACATCACATATAAATAAAAAGAATGCGTGGCCACAACTTAGTAAGGTGTGGGAACAAGACAAGTTGTGGCCACCACTTAATAAGGCGTGGGAACAAGATCCTTATGCATGGCCACGACTTAATAAAGTGTGGGAATGAGATGAGTCGTGGCCACGACTTAATAAGATGTGGGAATGAGATCCTAATGCATGGCCACGACTTAGTAAGGCGTAGGAACACGTTAAGTCATGGCTACGACTTAATAAGGTGTGGGAACGAGATCCTAATGCGTGGCCATGACTTAGTAAGGCATAGGAATGAGATAATTAAGCCTTGACTACAGCTTACTAAGGCATGATTTCATTCCCACGCCTTAATAAGTCATGGCCACACATTAGGATCTCGTTCCTACGCGTTAATACAGGACGTCACCAGCAGGGCTCCATATAAAACAGCATAGTGCACCTTTTATACCGGTAACAAACCCTTAAACACGTGAAGCTGAGTTGCTGAAATTAAAGGTGACTTTAGAGTCACAAATGAATCCAGTATATATAAGCTTGCTGCACTGGCTTTATAGTTGTTGGTCCAGGATGTTTTTACCTTTGTCCAGCAGTTTCTTGTGTTGGTCCTACAAAATGAAATCACTTCCTGCTAACGTCAGATTGACCCCTTCCCTTTTCTTGTATGCTCCAAATGTGATTTTGCTTTCCATCATCAATGTAATTTTTTTTTCCCTTACTGTGAAATTGAAACTATTGCTATAATGTGTAATGTAATCGGGCTTTGGGGGAAATGGACAGTACCTGCCTGCCTCCCCTTCTGCATGGGTCATCTTAAAAGAGCTCTTCTAGGACAATCCTGTGTGCCAAAAAAAAATCTTTATTTTCAATTTTTTTTTTTTCTGAAAATTTCGGATCGCAGAATTCTCAGGGAGGCGCGAGCTCGGGGTGGGGGGTGGGGGGTGTGGGGGTGTTTGCTCTTCTTGCCTCTTGGCCATGCTGGAGAACACGTAGCGCTCCCTCTGGTGGACGGTCGATGTAAGTGCGCAGCCAGACGGATAATGTAGCTTAGGGCCCTGACCCGCAGTGCCTTGGACATACTCGAGCATCCTTCAAACCAAACCCAGCCATCAGACTCCCTGGACCGAACTTCCGGAGTGTTAATCCACCCAAGAGTTTATTTTTTTCTTTTTTTCTTTTTTTTTTTTGGTTTAAAAGGCGAACTTTGGGTTAAATCTTTTTTTCTGCTTGGCTCATCATTACTGTATTGATATATGTGAATGATATTCTTTTGAAAGCTGAACTTGTCTCTGCTTGGAATTGCTGCGGCTTGCTGTGTGCATCCGAGAAAACCGGCCCTACAAAGCAAAACGTTAACGGAACAGCTTTTCCCCTTAGATTCACTGAAATACATACTTTTTTGGGAGGGAAAAAATTTGGAGTTTTTATATGTTAATGGATGCTATTTATAGAAAATGATAGTAAATTATTAGTCTGATACTGTAGATAGTAACAAGTCCCCCACAAACAGAAAGCACTTAAGTTTGACTGAAAAAAGAGGAAATAGATAAATAAATAAAAGCCCCTGCGGTTGGACAGAGCAAGCTAGCAGCGTATAGAGGACAAGGCATTGTATGTATTTTATTGTTTTAAAAGGAAAAAAGTATTACATTTAGAGCTTAATTTCTATTTTTTTAGCCAAAAAACAGGGAGGGCAAATTCAAATACTTTTCTGACTGTAAACTTTTGCTATTCTTGTACATTGAGATGAAATTTGCATTAACAGTGTATATACCTTGTTTTTTTTTTTTGTTTTTTTTTTTGAGAAACTGAAAAGCTTGTCGTCCTGCGGTCGTATAAGTGCATTGCGAAGATAAAAGAAGCTCGTGTGGAAACGTTTATCCCCCAGATTCATTCGGCTTTTTTGTCATTTCTCATTTTTATGTAAAGCCACTTGTTTTGACATCCGTGAAATAATCCCACTGTTCATTTTTGACGGACCCCCCCCCCAAAACTTTGTGTATTTACTTAAATATCTGTTCACAAAAATGAACATAATAAACATTCATTGTTTGCGATGAACTGGAAGAGACCACTGCATTAGAATAAGCTACACAGTTCAAAGCTGTCAGTCAGGAGCAGCTGAAATGGTCCAGGTCGCAGAACACAGTGCATTGTGTGTTGCCTTATTTGTTGTTGTTGTCTAGACTGAAGGCAAAAATCAACATGTTTCATTACTTTCAGAATGATTTGACCTATGACCCCAGGCTAATAGCCGTGTATGTTGATGAAACTTGTGTTCTGGCATTTCTTTAAAGTAGAGTTCTGCAATTTTTCAAAAATTCCTGCTTTATTAAATTATAAAGATGTGAACCTCATTCAGAGTGGTTTGGTGTGAAACGGTTCAGATGTCTTGACAGTGGTGGTGATAGGAACCAGGGGTCGTCATGACTACAACACAAATATAGACAAATATAGACATAGATATTTTATTTACTATCCAAAACCACCAGTGAACCTACACGAGTCTTTATATGGAATGTTGATGATGGAAAAACTGATAAAAATCTGATAGAAATGAATCCCTCATTTATCTCTCCTCATTAAATTGATTCACAAAAATAAACATTTTAGGTCAAAATGTTCTCAAACCTATCATAAAACAGTGTCTCAGTCATCAGGCAGTGAATTCATAACCATTTCATGTAGTAACTTTCTGTAAGGGAGCTTTTAGAGGTGGACGTCTGGTTCCTATCACCACCTCTGTGAACAATTCTGACTCTAAGTTTCTCTAGAACGGAGCGTTTCACACCAAACCACTCTGAATGACTTTATATCTTAATTAATTATGCAGAAAATCTGAAAAGTGGGAGGAATTCTCCTTTTAATGTAGCTGTCAGGCTGGAGAGCTGTTAAATGTTAAGTTTTGTGCTCTAATATGGGCGGATTTCCCCTCAAACTGAAAAAAGTGATGCATTGAATTTATGAATTTACTCGATGTGTCATTTCTACATAAAGAAAATCTGTCATGTCAACACAGTTCGCTTCATGCTCCGCCCACTGATGTGTTCTTTTATGGTTATTGTTGCTTGGTTGGACAAGCTGTACAGAATGCTAGTAGAAATGGCATTCAACTGAATGAGTTTAGGCTTTTTATAAACTGCAGCATCATCAGAATATTTAGATGACATTTTAAATAACTGTGAAGATAGTAAAATATGAGTTCTTACAAACTTGAAAACTCATTATTAGGATGGACTGTTGTTTAATTACTATAGCTTAATTATAACCTTTGTGGGCGGAGCCTGGATAGGTCAGCAGACCTGTAGGCTATAAGCACTACATTAGCATTAGCATGGTGGCAAATTCATTGATGTTTACATCCTGACGAGTTTAATAAGCTACAGGAAGTCCAGCTCTGGACTGGCCTGGAAACTCCATCTTATGTAGTGAAGCTGAAGTTGCTCTTTATGCTTAATGGAGGATTTTTGCCAGTGTTCTGTAAAGCTTGTCTAACCTAGCAACAGTTGTGAAGGAACACCAGTGAAATGTGGGCGGAGCTCGGATTGGTCAGTTTTGTCCAAATTTACATACGTTTGGCAATAACGATGTACACATCCACATCACTTATATTCAATGCATTACGCTCTTCATTCTGCTTCTTCAGCGTCTCCAGGGGCCGCATTCACAAAAACTTCCTTAAGAGAAAACTTGCAAAGGTTCTCAAGACAAACACTAAGAAGTTCGTAAGAATGTTCTTAAATTCAGTTCTCAAAAAACTTCAGAAGTTCTCAGATATTCTAAAGATAATCTTAATTATTTTCTTACGTAGGCCAAGTTGCATTTTACCATGTACCATAAATGCAGCGAGATACATTTTTAATTTGTATTAACTGTTATTTCCATTATTTAATCCACTCAGATGCGCAAAATGGAGGAAAAACATCAAAACGAGTGTTTAAAAAATGTTAGCAAAAAAAGAACCAGAGGTGAAGGTGGAAGAAACGGCCAACGGGGAAAAATCCTCCTTAAAATACGATAATTTTGGGGTGACGGGCTGGAGCAGCAGAGGCAGCATCCGTGATAA